TAAAAATATAAGCATCAGTGTCTCGAGTACTGTACTTTTTCTCAATCTATTTGTGTGTGTGTGTGTGTTTGGATTAATGGGAGATTTGCTTCAGATCTCCATGTTGTGTGTGGGTGTTTTAATCTCAGGGCTCCATCTAGCCATCTACAATGCTGTAATTCATTCAAAAAGATATATTTTATGTAATCACCCAACTGAACCTTAGTTAGAATAAAAGCCTATTGTGCTAAAAAAAACAAACAAAAAAAACCTGTAAGCTTTTGCTAATTCAGAGCATTACCAATTATGTCTACAGGAATAAAAGTAAAATGGCAACAAGAAGAACAATTTGTTATATGAATATTGTCCTATATTTCCCTACCTACCTGTGTAATGCCTTTTCAGGTTCTATAAAGCTGTAAATTCTTAGAATTACTCCCAGCACAGCAAGTAGATTAACATCCAGTCAGCTTTCTGCTTCTCTACTACTTCTAGTCATTACCTAAAACTAGCACCAAAATGAAAAAAAAAAAAAAAAACATTTGGGCAATTCCTTAAAAGATTGTTAAATTTCTACAATTTAATGGGAACAATGTGATACTCCAGGTAAATTTGCTACTACAATGGACACCAGATGAGAATGATTATCTTAGTTGCACCAGTGAAGCCATGGGAGGTTTTGTACGTCCACCCACACACTCAGAAATCAACAGAAAATCATCCTTGTTTAGCCAAGTAGATTCACATGCAGCACACAGACACTTCTTAAAGTGTTTGGTTGTTTGGAGTCAACCCATCCACAGACGAAGACGCTACAGAACAAATGACACATTTGTACTTTCAGTGAGTTCTCAAATTATGTTTCTATCACAGTAAGCCTGATTGAGACAAAGGACTCCATTTAGAAGGGAATCTTTTATGGAAGTAACATAGTGTCTGGATCTTATGTATTCACATTGATTTTATCTGTTCCTAGATAACATCTGTGATGCTGCAGGTTATTGGATAATTGTTGTATTTAAATGACAAAGACTGGAAGTACAAGATTGTTTTATGATCAGGAGCACTTGTTAATGTATTCAATTAAACCACTGAATCACATGATGCAAAGCTTCCCTGAGTAATGGTAAAGTATTGGATTGAAAACCCATCTTCTTACAGGGTGTAATTTTTGCTTACTGAAAACCTAGACCTTGTAGAAATATATCTAAAAAAAATCCTGGTGAAATTGAGCTTTTATTGTTCAAAAATAGTGAAGTACTGAGAAGTACTGAGTCTGGAAAGGCGTGGAATTTTTTCAAGGAAAAATGTGTAGAAATCTTGATAACACAACTCACATTGTCTTAGTCAAAACCAAGGAAAGTATGGTTGAAGCCCTGCCTATTTGTGGTTTAGGTCACCTTTCTCGTAGAGTACATCTAAAATATTTAAAAGAAAATGCAGCTTGGGAAGCTGTAGCTGCAATGCTACTTGACAACCTAGTGTTTACAAACCATCCAATCCACAGCACCATTCATTTTCCTTGGGCCTGTTGGCTGCACAACTGAAGGTGGCTGGTTTGACTCCTGTTCCCTCTTTGCCCTGGGATGGGTTGGGGGTTAGGGATGGGAAGGTAGTGCAGTGGAAGAGGCTGCTGTAACTTTGTTGTGTGAGGTGCAGACAACAATAAAGTAAATTTAGTTGATCAATTATTGAATAGGAAGCTACAAGTGTGTCTTGTAGCTGCCTACTCATGCATCTGTGGATTTTTGTCTATTCACAGGTGCCTCTGGTTCTTAACCCCAGCAGATATAGGGGGTCTGCAGTGCCATAGAAGAAAAAACCAAGGCCAAAATTTGAATCACTTGTAGAGTTCATCTACAATGAAACATTTAGATAAATATATAAAACTCCCTTCACCCAAGTAGTGAACATAATCGAGCTGTTTAATATTTTTGCTCACATGTTTTCTATGATGGCTTTTCAGAAATGTGATCTTTCTCATGAGTACATGTCATGAAACGTGGGCCAGCCAGGCTGAGCTCAGGATGCTAGAGGAGTTCACGCTGCAGCTCCGTGACTCACTCCGACTCTCTTCTGCTTGGCTAAACCCGGACTATCTCCTCCCCCTTTCATCAGGACTGACTCATCTTGACTTGCTACAAGAATCCTCTAAGTTATGCACAGAAAAAAAAGAAAAGAAAACGACAAGATCAGATGTTCTTTACAGAATCAAAAGTGGAGTTAAGGTAACCACAAGATAAAGTGCCATGCTGAAAATATGTCTTTGCAACAGAGTGTGTCTTTGTTTACGATAACACATTAAGTGGTACCACCTTTCCTCCGTCATCAGCAGAATTTCAGTCACGCTGCACAACAACGGAGCTGCACTTTAATAAATCTAAAAGCCACAGCTTAATGGTTTCTGTGTCCAGCAGAGTGTTAGGGGTGAATACAAGGTGAGATGGCTGATGTGCTCTGGTGCCGTGATTTGCTGCAATGTAAACTACACTTACTACTCATCCGCAAATAGTTATGACTCACATCTCTTCGTATCTGGGCGTCAAGAAAACTCAATCACTGCCACAAAGGTCAGGGAATACATTTCCATTATTCTGTGCTCAGCAAACGTGAAATAAAAAGTTTAGTGTTTACAGAAATACCTAATGTTTTTTTATGATATTGAAACTGCTTCAAAATCTTTCTGGGATGTTTGCTTTTTGAAAATGAGATGAAGGTGCGGCACCGTCGGACAAATTTTCCTCTGCTGCAGTCTCTTAATGCCACGCTGTTCTCCTTAATGTAGCTCAGACATGTGTGGGATTTTCTTCCCGCTTGAATAATCTCCTTTCTCCCTCTTTGTCCTGTCATCTTTAGGCGGTTATGTGAAGCAAGGCTTAGAGAGGCGGTGCAGACGCAGGCTGCTTCTGCTGATGCCATTTGGCAATCATTGTCTCCTTATGCCCTGAAACTGTGAATGTTTAATGAAGCCAGGATGTCCAGGAGAAAATAGTATTGAAAGAGAGACAACACAAACTTCTGCTGAATCATACATTGTGCAAAATATCATCTTTTTCGATTCTAATTTGAATTAGTGTGAATAAAATCTTGAATGATTTGCAGTCCATCACAAAAAAAGCTGAATCCTGCAAAACGAGGACTTGCAAGTCATCATCATGCTTTGATTTGATCACATCTCTTTGCAGCATCATGTGCAGATCCTTTTGTATAGCCTCCAGAGAGATCATAGTGCAACAGTAATCTTCATAGATCCTCACAGAGGATCATCTTTTAGAGGCCTTGAGAGCTTTACACTGTCTTAGCTGCTCTCTCTAGTGTTGTCAACCACTTAGAGGCCACAATTACATCTGCCTCTGGTATCTCCAGCTTCTCTTGTCCTTTTGCTTGATGATGCTGAGGGGAACCTGACCACTAGTAACAAACAAGAAAGTGAGTCCCTCCGGCAGTAGAAATCCAATCAGCAAGAGAAGAATAAGACCTCTGAAGAGTGTCTACCACCTACAGATTTAAGATGTGTCTGATATCAAGACATCCTACCAAAGGCGAGAGAGGGCTGAACTAAAGAACAGTACAGACACATTAATCATCACAGAACAACAGTAATACGGGGCTCAGAACCTGTCTGGTCTACAAGATGAGACAGGAATCCAAGTACTGATTACAGCTGCTGGGAAAAAATTGAAAAACTACATTGCAGAGGTGATGGATGTGGTTACAAAAATTCAGCTTAAACAGGAAGGTAGAGTTTCTTTCCTATTTTCCATTATGCAAACATAAGCCTTAATGCTTCAGAGCAGCAAACCTGAGCTTTTATTGGTGTGTTCAATATAACTAATGATTTCCAATCAAGTTCCTTGTTATTCGCAGCCTTGATGTTACTTATCCTCTTTATTTCTTGGAACCTGGGAAGTTGTTTCCTCACTTTTTACTCACAGCTATGCACTGTTAACCCTAAGAGTTTTTACAAATAGTTGAAACCAAACATTTAGACACATTTTTATTTTTTTACATTTAATCAGACTAAATCTTTACAGGTTCAACTCTGTTGAAATCTGTTTCTCATAATTGCATGATGCAATTTTTATCCTGTTAAACAACATCATGCAAGTATAAACACTGAAGGCCATCACACTGTTCAGTAAGTAGAATGCTTCTGTGCCTCAGAGGTGAACAGCTTTTGTGCGATTATCAATCTAAGAATAAATTCAAAAGGCTTTCTGAAGCTGCCATAGTGTTATTATCCACAGTGAAACAAGTCCAGCACCAACATGGGCTGGAAAGCCAGTGAATGAGGACAAAGTTATTACTTTAAAAGCAGCACAAAAATACAATTTAAAATTTGCAAATGCACATTACTTATATTATTACCATTATTTTCTTCCTTTAGTGGTCCTTTATGAAAGCAAAACATCCTTTTATGGCCCAGAAAATCATTCTATCAATATGAATGTGTCAATCTGTGATTTTCTTCACTACTTCCTGAATCATTCATTTATTACTGATCCAAACTGTGCCACAGGAGGCTTCAGAGTGTCTGTAGCATATGGCACAATCTGTTTCTAAACCTTTCATTCAGACATGATACGGAAAAACAACCACAGAGATGTGGTTGTTTTTAACACACAAGGACAACCTAAACAGGTGTAGGTCAAAACACAAATTGCTCACACTTTATTGGTAGATCATGAATCAGGTTCAGTATCAAAGGGTTAGAGTTATGCATCATTTGTAACAACCGGGTCCAATCATCGTCAGGAAAAGAGATGTGACATGTTGAGCCAACGGCTGAAAGATGGAAGGATGGCAGCAGGAGAAGGTGGGGCTTGTGGAGCGTGATGGATGGTGTTTCCAACTGTGAACCCAACCTCAAGCGCGCGTGCAGGAAACCCCCTCCGCTGGCTGCACACGGCACGCAGTGCCACAGTGTTGCAGCACGACATTTGAACGTTGTCTGTGATGTAGGAGGATGATGACAGGAGAGCGGAGCGGGAGGAGGTGAAGGGGGGCAGGGGGATTCAGCCAGTGAGTGGCTCAGGGGGAGTAAGCGAGAGGAAAAAGGGCAGAGGGAGCGAATGAGAGAGTGAGATAAACATAGGCGGCAGCATCTCTTCAGTGCATTCAGCTTGCAGCAGCTCAGGAGGCAGGAAGGAAGGAAGAGAGGAAGAGGGAGAACACCAGCACCTCTCTGAAGGGGGCGACACCACACCTCTCTAGCTCTCTCTCTCTCTCCAGCAGATACACACTGTCCCACGTCACAAACACGCATTTTCAGGAGGCGTGAGGCTCAGGAGGAGGAACACCACTCACACGCTCGCTGTTTCTGTTGCCCCGGCTGCACTTTCGGGAGCTGTCTCTTGAAGACTGGACCAGAGCTGTTTCCATCCTCGCTCGCTTCATCCATCCTCTCCTCCCTTCCTGCTTTACCATCCAACGCAGAAGCAGCTCTGCTGTCACGCATCCCTCGATCATCTGGACTGATTTGTTTGCTCTGTCATTCATCTAACCCCTGATCCACTCTGCCTTCACTCCATTCAGCCTGGACATCAGGAGGCGCCCAGTCAGGAGAAAGACACATCTACAGTCGACTCAGAATCCCACCTTTCAACCGAAACCATGAACTTCCTCCGCCGCCGTCTCTCCGACAGCAGCTTCATGTCCAACCTGCCCAATGGCTACATGACAGACCTTCAGAGGCCTGACCCACCTGCTCCTCCACCCCCCACCGCCTCCTCTCCTTCCCAGCAGGGTGCAGCCCCTGCCTCAGCTCCTGCCCCTGCCCTCTCCCCAACAAAAGCTCCTACTCCATCCCAGGTGCCTGCCAGCTCTCCCGGGACACAGGAGCGCCGTCCATCGCAGCTGGCCCAGCAGCCCCAACAGGCCCAATCGTCGTCGTCCTCTGGCGGGTCCTCCGGCTTCTTCAGCTCCTTCAGCTCCATCACCAACGTGGTCAAACAGACGGCTGCATCCGCCGCTGGCTTTGTGGAGCAGTCGGCCCCTTCTCCGTCCCTCTCCAAGAAGTTCAAGATCCTGTTGATCATTGATGAGCCCCAGCATGAGTGGTGAGTGTTGAGAAAATGTCACAGGTTGTCCAAATAACTGTTGGGAAGCTGTGTGTAGTAAAAAGGTCACGCTGCGTTTCATGTTTGGAAATCTCCTTAGGCTTGATACAGAAAATATTTGGTTCTCAGTCGGCCAGAAGGCACAAAATTTATTAGCTTATTTAATTGAATGTGGGTGGATTGGCATGATTTTGATATGTACACTATTAAAATGACTTGTGGATTGATGGTTGGAGCCTTCTGTGAAATCAAAACAAACCAGTGGGTTCTATTAGCCAATAAAGTTGCAACACAAACATGAAATTTGATTCTTCTTATTCTGTTGCTTCATATCTGTGCAATAAAATGTCTTCTCCCAGTGATGCTGCTCTCAAAATAGCTCTGTTAATCAAAACAGACAGGAGTGATTTTCTCTGGGCTTTGCATTCACACATTCCACCACCCAACTCTGTCACCCGTCTCAGCTCTTGTGATTTGACTTGTGCTTTAAGATGCTATATTTGTGTCTATGTTAATGAACGTGTGAGAGGGTTGGTTTTAAAAAGCTTGAAGTCACAGTTAGCATCTCTCGACAGCACAAGCTGCAGCTATAATCCTCATGCTATCAACATGCACATCGCTGTTGGACAAAAAGCATGTAGCTCTGAATAAAACATAATCTTCTACAAGTTTAAAGGGAGCTTTCTGCAGAGCAGTGACGCTGCAGTGCTGTCTACTGTATTCGGTTCCTGGAAATCAGATTTTCATGCTGTAACAGTTGATGATGGATTGGTGGGACGTCTAATGTTGTCATTAGCTGGACATAGCTTTATCTTATCAGGCTATTACAAATGTCTTGTGAAAATGATTGCTGCATGACCTTTGCTGTTTAACAGATGCTCTGTAAGGTTGTTGCAGGTCAATTATTGTTGATCTCTTCATATAAAACATATCTGAAAGCTTTACAATAAGCAGATATGTAGATCTAGATGCCCTGGAATGAAATTAAAAAAAAAAAAATACACTTCAAAATCTGGGAACATAGAAAATGTCATTCCCATTTTTTGAGATTGATGTTTATGTTGGCAGAATAATGTTGAACACCCAGACTTCAGTAGAGAGCGAAAGATGAGAAAGAAAACAATACACCATGATTCAAAACAATACAACATGCTACAATATAATACAGTATACTATAGTACTGCACAACAACATGATGAGATAAATTTGAAACTATGTGGTCTAAAACAGCGGAAAAGATTAAAATACAGACTGATAAGATATGGCTACCAGTGCACAAAATAAATCAGCTGGACGTGTAAATTGCTTCTATTAACATTTTTGTTAGGATTGGATTGTTCTCAGAAGTTCAGTGAAATCCAGCCTTAGGATACCTTCTCTGCAATAGGTCAAGACATAAAAATACATCTTAAGAGTACCAAGACATTTTGAACAACTTCATGCTCATCTTTTGTGGAAACATTTTTGGGAATATTATTGTTCCAACATGACTCCCCACCAACATACTAGGGCATGAATGTTCAGTGGAGAAGACCTTGAACACGCAGTCCAACTCCTTGACCTCAAACTCATAGAACACCTTTCGGATGACTTGAAGTGTTTGACCTCTCAAATATGTTTTCTATAAACACATTCCTATACTTTGTGGAAAGATTTCTCAGAAGAAAGTCAGATATGAAGGTGTTATAATTGCAAATGCTGGATCAACATCATATTAAACCCAATGGATCAAGAATAAGTTAGTGATCCTCTTGGTAAAGGCATATGAGCAAAAAAAATTATCAATACATGGGACAGAATATGAGTTATAACAATATAGTAGAGTTTATTGCAATGTGATGCAATACATTATGATGGGATGTTATACAATGCGATATGATACAGATAATACAATACAATACAAGGGATCATGATACAATAAATTATGAGACAATATGAGAGTTTACAGAAATATACATTATGATATGATGAATTTAGGTAAATATGATATAATATGATGCTGTAAAATACTGTAATAAAATCAATTATGCCAGAATTAGAGGAAGCATAATGCAATACAAAACTATATGGAATAGTATTCCATAATACAATATCAAAAGAACTAATATGATGCGAATATCATCTGATTCAGATGCTAAAATGCATCGGTACTATGTAGAACAGTACAAGATGTAATACTGTTATAGAATCCAATATTACATAATACTTTAAGATGTAATATGATACATTATAACACACATCATTTAACGCTTCCTTGGGGGGGTCATAGCTTTGTCAACCAGTGCTGTCTAAACAGCTGTTTTCACCATTAAAGAACATTTACAATGCATGTATAAGAGTAATAATTTATACACTTTATGGATAAAAATGGGTGATAAAATTAGTTAATTCCTACTTCAGCACTAGCAGAGCTGTTCTAAATACAGTTTTTATCAAGCTGATCTCAGATGCATTTTTTAAACAATCTGGATCATTTTGGAAATTTTGTACCTTCTGCCTCAAGGGCAGAGTTCATGCTCAAACTGAAGGATATGTGATAGGTCTGATAATGGGGCATTGATTACTTAAAAAAAATCAATATGATCTTCTGAAAGTACATGACTGACAATGTAGTACATGACTTCAATAGTTTTTTTACAGGCTGAATGTGACTGGCAGCTCTAGGTTATGATAATCCTACATTTCATGCTGTGATTGTTTTGGTAGGCTGTGATTGGTTGACTGCCACCTGTGAGGTGGCAGTCTCTAAATGGGTGACACTAGAATCTAAACTCATAAAGGAGGCACTCTAATGCATGGCTTTGCTTTATGTAATCCTGCTTATGTAACTACTATCATGTATATACATCATCATCCGTTACTTATAGTTAGAAAGCATTAGAAACTTCAGATTACTGACGTCGACGTATTAATGAAAATACATCGGGTTCTTTTAATACACAATCAAACACTGTCATTTGTAAACAGATTGTCATCTTATGGAGCATTGTAAAGTTCTGACCAGGCTCTAATTTTCACAACGGATAATCACATCAAATGACTTGAAGCAGCCACTATAATATGGTCTGATTAAGATCTTGTGCTGGAGTTTTAAATTGACAGCTTTAACCCATAATATGATACAGAATTCATTACAGGACATTGGAAACATGAATAATAATAATAATAATAATAAAAAAAATGAAGTCTAAAGTCTGATTTTTGCATCTACCTGCTCTGTTTCCAGTATTTTGTTTTCCAGATGCTCCTATAGTCTGATAAGTATTAATATTAATGTTTTGTTCCTTGGAGGATGATAGCAGGGCTTTCACAAGGCCTCTGGGCCAGAGTAGCATTTGGCTGAGTCTTATTGATTTTCCACACAGAAAGGAGTGGTCGGCTTTTAGTAGTCCAACTTGGTAAACAGAAGATCTCGCTGAAAATATTGTATCTGAATGTCAATCAGTTTGACAAAAGAGGTCTAATCCTGCACTTTGACTTCTAAAACAGCTGTCATCTGAAGGAAATATTCACCATAACACATTGCTCAGCTGGACTGTGAGCAGATTCAGTGTTTGGCAAGTGTATCCAGGGGCAAACACACAAACACCACACACACAAAGCGAGACAGACAGAGAAAGAGACAAATGCATCAGTAAATACGAACAAACAGCACACAGTCACTGCTAAAATGACTGATTGCTACAATTTTATAATTTTCAAATGAAGAAAGCAAAACATTATTTAGTGAATTCTGATCTGTTTGTCAAATGGCAGGAAAATAAAAGATTTAGTGAAAGAAATCTAAATCTGCCTCTTTTTTATGGAAGAGACTAGGAGGCAGTCAGATGCTTATGAAACACATTCAATCAACTATTTACAACATACATCAGGCTCTAGTAGTTGGTCAGCCTAAAGCATTCAGGTTCATTTTGATGCAATCAATGATCTAAAATAGAAAATACTTTTGCCTGTCAGTCTGTTTAGGTTTAATGGCCTCCAGAAATTAACTACATGATTCTAGAAAAAGATTATTCGCTAGTGAAGAAACCACAATATTCAAGATAGTTTAAAATTGTCTCTGAAGAGAAAGTCTTAGGAAGTTCAATGTGAACTCGCATTGCCAGGAGAATTCGGAGAAAGCCTAAAAGCTACAGGGATCATTTAGTATGTCATAAAATTCTCTACTCTTTGAGAAGGAACGTGGAGGCTTTACTTTGAAAACCTGTACCTTAAATCTAAGCATAGATCACTACCAGATGTCAAGCAGATTTTGGAGAGTTTGTGATCATTTTACAAGCAGGTCCCCAGGGAACATTTTCACCCCTTATTCTTAACAAAACAATCAAACATGACCTGATCATCCACTGAATAATTGGAGTGCAGTTGGTCTTAAACCTAAGCCCTATTTAAAAAGTCTCTAAATCTTAATGCTTCCATGTTTTTTAAATTTTGACCAAAAGCTGATAAGATCACATATCAAATTGCTTCTCTAAACCATCAAGCCTAATGCTGTTTTTAAAATATTTTATTTTATATGTCATTGTATTTAGGAAATGTTTTTTTTTTAATCACTTAACACTGGTAAGTCTGAAATATGGAGAAACAATAAAACATTTTTCAAATGTCCTTTGTTTATTATACCTTACAAAGTCAAATCAGTTAAGTGAGAAAAACTACACCTAAGACAGTGATAAGCAAACTATTGATGTTATGATGTTCTAATATTATAATCAGTTATTTATGCCATATGATGATCCTCCAACTACTTCCTGTCGTCTTCTTCTTTGTGGTTTGCGTCACTGCAACATCAGGTTGTTGATCATGTGATTTGTATGGTGCGAAAAAAAAGTGTTTCCAATGCAGTTTTGCAATACATATATTTTGATACATCTATTAACCTCATCATCTCATTACAAACGTTAGTTTTTTTCAAAATTGACCTGTTTCTATTAAGAAACTGTTTTTTTGTAAATTCATGTTGCCCAATTTTATGGTTAATAAAAAACGTAGCTATATTA